TCCTACTCGTAAAAATCCAGGGGCTGGGCCCAACGACAGGCCAGCGTTGATAAATCTCACCAGCGGCCGTCATTCTGTTTCTTTTGGCCTCCGAAACGATCGGGTACCCCACAATGTGAAAACAAGGCCCAGGTAGTGGTGGTTCTGAAAAAAAGAGGGAAAAAAAAAAAAGATTTACAGCCAAGTTCAGCCACTGGGGCCGCAGCCCAAGACTGGGATAGATTGGTTGGAAAGTTTTTCCTAAGCCAATATGTAATACGACAGGTAGAAGAGAAGAGCATGCGCTCCAGACGCTGGCGGGGGGGAGAAGTGGGGTGTGGAGGGCCCATGTACTCCCCCCTGCCTACTGCCAAATTAACAGTAGTAGGCTTACGACACGTACTCCCGTACGTAGGAATACGTAGAAAAAAAAAAAAAAAAAAAACATCATCGGAAAAATCTGAAAAAACATTATGTTATGGAAAATGATATTTCAAACAACTTTTGCCTGAGTCTCATCGCCAAATTCTGTACATAACTCGAGTGAAAAATCAAAGACACAAAACACAAATAAATTGAAATATATATATTTTTTAATTAGGAAAAAAACAGAAAAAATGAAAACAAACTTCTGTAACAAATACATGTTGTGCAGAAACATGATACAAACAACTTTTGCCTGGGAATCATCCCCGAATTCCCAATCTAACTCGAGTAAGAAATTAAAAACTAAAAAAAAAGTAATATTATCATAATAATTAAAAAATTATTTTAAAGTTTTCTTTAAGGTTTTGTATTTTTAAATCAAGATTGGTTGGGAATTCGGGTATGACTCCCAGGTAAAGGAAAGGGCAGACAACAAAAACCGTTTTCCTTTGGGAAGGTCATCCTCCAAGAGCATGCAAGCCCCTGACAGCTGCGATTTCCTACAGGAAAGGGCCAGCAGAAAAGAAAAGGGTTTTCTGAAGGAAGGGCAGCCAGCAAAAAGGGGTTTCCTCTGGGAAGGGCAGCCAGCAAAAAGGGGTTTCCTCTAGGAAGGGCAGCCAGCAAAAAGGGTTTTCCTCTGGGAAGGGCAGCCTCCAAATAGCATGCAAGCCCCTGATGGCTACGGTTTTCTTTTCTTTTTTTTGTCTCGGGAGTAGGCCCCATCTATTGGTGGGAGGCATCACCTGCTGGAAAATGGGTCTGCCGTCCCTATGCAAATATAACATCAGCTGAGACCTTTATAAGAATCTGCCGTGTTCTAAAGGGTAGGGTTTTCCCAAGGGCGGGCAGCCAACAAGAAGAGGGTTTTCCGAAGGGTAGCAATGCAAAAGTATTTGGTGACCTGTCAGAGCGCTCCCACCCCATTACCCCTCAGCCGAGACCGAGGAGTGCGTTCATCGGACGGCTGACGGATGTCGAAACTTCCGCCTGCCTAGGCATTCGCGCTCTGAGACGGGAGACCCCACTCATCATCCAGGCTTGACGAGTCGTCTGTATTCGTAGATACAGAAGAGTGTACGACCTACAGAACAGATCCTGTTCAAGTACAGTCGTGGTAGAAGGAGGCAGGAGCTCGTCTTATATAGGGCGCAAAAATGATCTTTCATTTTGGTTATGGGCGAGGGGCCAACCTGCGGCACAGAAAAAGAAATCTCTGCGCGACTGCTATATTGYTGTTGGTGGCGTTTCAGGGCAGGAGGGAATTTTTCCCTTGACTCATCCGACCTTAATCGCCRCCAAATTCAGTCCCAGAAGCTCCCCTGTGCGAGCGCGCGTGAGTGAGCTCAAATGAGGACAAGACAAACAAACGAATGTCGGCAGCAAAAAGAAACGTTCCGCTGGAGTGGTTTGGCGGCCGACGGGCTGCGCTCGCATGAGGTACTTTCCTAGTTGTACACGGTCGTGTTTAAGACCAGATTCAGTCAGAAAAGCTCGTTTGTGCGAGTATGGCGGGGATTATTTTATATTTTTATATATCTTATTATGACCTCTTTACGAATGGGCACATAGCTGCACCTGTGTGTTGACGGGTCTTGAACTCTGACCGGTTTATTGTCAAGAGGCACGCGTGAAAAAAAAAATGACAAAAAAAAGGTCATGCGTGTGCACTATGATGCAGCTGCGGCCATTGCACTTTTTTCCTATTGGGTGTGGGGGAGGGACGGGGGCCAGGGGGTAGAAGGGGGAGAGGGGGCGTAAAACTCAAAGCCTCCAGGAATCATGACCCTTGTTTTCGAGTGAACAGCTACCACATATGTGCAGCTTTCAGGACGTACCTGGACAATATGGACCAGATGCATTCAGACTCAACGGCTACTGCGTATGTGAACTCACGGGGTGTCTCCCTAAACCACCTACTACCCTCATTGGACACAGTCGGTCACTTTCAAGTACCGACTGTGTCCAATGCCCATTTCTCCATGGTGTGGCCCACGGCCTACCCCGCGCCAGTCCAGCCTTTGGTTGGTTTTCCCCAAGGATCCCGTCCTGGAGGGCGGGGGAGAGCAGGGGGGGAGAGGGGGGGTTGCACAAAATTTTGAGGGAATCCGACCTTCATTCCAAGCACCAAGGGGGCGCAGAGTTACTATAGAGTAAGGACCAGTAGAAGGCCGTACCTTTTTGGATGTTTCTCGACCTAAATCTTTCCCAGCAGGTTTTTTTTTTTTTTTTTTTTTTTTTTTTTTTTTTTTTTTTGGTAGCCCGATAGACCACGGATCAGATATTGAAGTGCTCAGAACAGATAATAAAAAAAAATACTACAGTTGATCTTAGCCAAGAGGCCGAGAAAGGTCCAAATCCTATTTTTTCTTTATTACGATTTTTCTTGTCATCATAAGGGACGCTGAGCCCAGTTCTCAGCAATCTCGGTTTCGTTACTCCCCGTAGACTGTGAGGACACCGGCCTCAATATTTTTCATTAGTAATATCAGCCTTGGGCACTGGGCCCGTATATATATAAAAAAAAGGGAGGCCGAGAAAGGTATAGCAGATTCATTTTGAGAGAGTCCTAGGGCGAGGTCCCATTAGCAGTCGGATAGGAGTGTGGCCGATCCAGTGTGACACTGAGTGGCAGCGGCCAGACACGTTCAWTACGAATTTCTGGGCTGAGAAAACAGGAAAAAGGCCAAAAAAAAAAAAAGACACAGAGACCTCCCACTGGAAATCACCGCAGAGTGCTTCCCAGCCATCAGATCACAAATGATCTGA